TAAGGGCACAGGGCAAAGAAACAGAGTAGGACACTGAGGAGGGCAGAAAGTAGGGCACGGCAGGTTACAGGGCATGACACAGGGCATTTCAGAGGGAAGGGTACAGGTCAGGGCACACAGCAGGGCACCCGGCATGGGTCAGGGAACCGGACAGGGCACAGGACAGGGACGCAGTGGGTCAAATAGGCAGGGGCATACGTCCCAAGGAAGGGGGGCTGCGTCCCAGAATGGGACGCAGTAAGTGCCTTAAAATATGCCCTGGGTTATCGTTTTATTGCGTGCAAAGATATGTAGATTGTAGACTGTTCTAATTACCGCACGGTCGGGGTAAAACACCGTGACTTGGTGGAGAATTGAGGTTATACTTTTCCAGGTATGCTCAGCTCAGTTTAGTTTAGTTCATTCAATCAATCATCCATAGGCACACACCCAATGATGGATGAAGTCATAATATAAAACAAAGCTTGTCCAAAAATAAGGCTTGCATGGTGAAAGGAAGTAATATTTGCGCTACTGAAACAATTTTTCTTTCTCCAGGGTTGAACTGGAATTTTGTGTGACAGAGTACCTAAGCGTAAAAATATATGTTACAAGTACCACACCTTACACTTCTCTTGATGCATCTAAAATGACCGTCGTGATGCGTGCCACGTGAAAAGTCAAGGCTGTTTAAGTCCTTCCAAGGACAATGAAAATGGATACCATCGGCTTCCACACGCCACGCCCGCTTTCCCTGTAGCTCAATCAGGGGACGAATCACTGGTTGGTTCTTTTGACCCCTCCTTCCAGGGGCGTCGCCGACGGGGGGGGGGGGTCGCGGGGGTCGTGACCCCCCCCCCCCACTCGCGAGAACCGGGGTGTCGACCCCCCACTTTTGGCGATGCTGAGTTTTCTTTTTTAAGCTATCATGTCAGTGAAGTTGGCGTAAGCAACCTCAATAAATACAACGTCAGATTCAGGGGTCTTTCATAATGAATGTTACTTTTGAACGAGCTATTTCTCAGGACATATATGTTCCTCATGTAATATGTACCATCACATGAAACAGAAGCACATTAGCGTTTTGGCACACACAACTTTCATTTTAATGCTCCTCAGGAATTTTCCACTGTATCGCCCTTAATTAAGGCACACGTTTCGACCCTCTGACGAAGGTGTTGCACCCCGCGCCTCACAACGTCTGGGTCCAGGCTTCCAGTAAACCTCTCCACTGTGGTTCGCAGTGGATGGCTGCAGGAGGGTTTTGTCTCAGATCTCCCAATGCGACTCCCCAAAGCCAGTAGTCCAGCGGGGAGAGGTCAGGACTCAGTGGTGGCCATGGTCGCTCGGTGAGGCGGCTGATAACGCGCTCTTCGAAATTCTCGATCAGCCACTGGCGCAACAGCTGCCATGGTGTGCACTGTGGCACCATCCTGTTGGAACCACAGGCCGTCTCTTTGAACCTTGTCCCTGACCTGAGGCAGAAGCCTGAGGTAAGCCACCCCGTTCAGTGTTGACCCAGGGGAGAGCCAATGGATGAAGACTTGTCCGTCGACCGTAATCCGTACCTAATGCGTTTTAGTGGTGTCGACATACTCTGCTTTTCCGTGAAGGAAAATTGGCGTTGTGAATTTTTTTTTTTTTTGGGACAAAACCCTAATCAATTTGCAACAATACGCATATAAAATTCACGCGGAAGTGATAAATTAAGAGCTCCTAACTAAATGTTCAAAAGTAACATTCATTATGAAAGACCCTGTAGGTCAATAAGCGGTGGGCGTGGAACATCAGCATAACAATATTTTAACCCTCGCCAGGCGAGGGCCTTTTCCATAACACGGACGGCGAGGGGGGGGGGGTTGGTACGACCCCCCCCCCCTCGCGATTGGCTTCTATGGCACTAGAAACACTAAATGTACAGGGTAGGTGGGTCCATAGGAGATCTCGCCCCTGTAAAAGTTTGGTGACTCTAGGTCAATATTTAGGGGGGTTTTGGGGGGTATGAGTGCAAAAATTTTGCTTAAACATGTCAAACGTTTTTCGGTTATAACTTTTTACCTAGTAAAGATAGTGCAAAAATAAAAGCACCAGTGAACTCAGGACGTCCGTGCGCATCGAATGATATACTTTGTTACCCATTTAAGTGAACTCTGGAATTCAGTTGCCGCTAAGCTAGTCCAATTTTCCCCTGACCTTGTACCGGCTTTTGTGACCTGGTGACCTGACCTGAAAAGACTGGGACTTCAAATTTTCAGGATAGGTGCGAAAAGGTTGCCCCAGAAGGTATGCCAACTTTGGCGGCGCTACCCGCCGCCGTTTTTACGTTATTTGCGAAAAACCTTAGGGGGGGGGTTGCATCAACCCCCCTCGAGGGGGTTGATGCCACTATAGCCACTATTCTAGTCCCTTTTTATCCCTCAAACGAATGAGCGCGCCAAAACTGACCCAAGCGTTCGTCTGATTGTCAAAATAATGGTTGCAGTCGATTCGTCGGATGACATATCAGTAACTACGAGGTACCTAAGTCCTAACTAGCCTCAGCAGCCCTGACTACCCTCGGACCTGCCTGAGGTAGCCGGGAAATGGGGTCAGATTGTGGACCCCTCTCGGGCTTTCCCAATAAGACGCGCAAAAAGGAGCCTATTGCAACGAAACTTCCTGTGACCTCGAGTTAATCAATTTTACACCTACTCTAAAAATTTATTGGCCATGATTCGAATATAGATGACCTTGGTTCACTTTTTTAGTTTTATTTGCTTCCACTTACAAGGGAAGTTTTTGGAACTGATTTCGAGTTTAGCGCCCGTTTGAACTTAAAGAAGTAGTTTTGATAAATGATGGTTATGTAGTAACATGTTACGAAGCTATTGTTGGTGGTTGTCACCCACTCCATGTAGATGGCCGGCAGGAAGCCTGCTGGTCGACCTGACCTGACCTAACCCGATCTACCCCAAATGCATGGAGTCATCATCTTTGTCCAAAACTAACATCGAACTCGTACCCAGAACCCCGATAACAGCTACGGCTCACAAATTTCTAGCAGGCCAGCTTTTTCTACTTTTGGGAGTTGACCTAAGATGACCCGGCCAAGACCTTGAAATTGGGCATCATCGGCTTTCTCTCATCACGGGCAGCATCGTCGCTTTTCCGCGAAGCTCTACCTCGATCAGGGGCCGAAAGTATACCTTCAGCGTTGCGTTGGTAAACATTTTACCTTAGCGACCCGTAAAACACGAATAAGAGCTATAGTGACACAGAAAGCGTACTCGATAGCTTTTTTAAAGCTCTTTCGCCAACTTCGCCTCAGATAGGTATGACTTCGGGTCTATGGCTTGTGTACCACAGAGGCCAAACAGTTAAACGGACGGATTTTGCCGAAACATTTGTTCTGTACCAACCTATATGATTCAGTGAATGTGTATGATATTCATGTTAGGTATCACCATCGTGTTTGTTTCGTCGAAACACGTCGCATGGCTTACAATTTGAACTTAAGAACTTAACTAGAAAACTTGACATCAGGTAGGTAAAGGTTAATCAATGGTCATGTCCTGACCGGAAAAGAACCCGCTGCAAAAATGTGCGATCGATCTGTGTTGCTGAGCTGAACACACTTGACACTCCAGCACTGAACACTGAACACACACTGAACACACTCCAGGTGCTGTCATTGCTCTACATCGTCTCCAGCAAAAGTTGTTGTCGAAAATGTGTTAGAGACCTTTGATGACCTAACTAATAGTAATGACTGACCATTCGAGTCACCACTGGTCATTAGCTGCACCTTGTCTCTAAAATGAGCAGAGGTGCCATGGCTGCAAAAGTATCTTATAGCGTTTTTAGCATATTCGTTCAAAGCAGAGGGCATCTCGTGCATTTTCCCATATCTTATCATGATTGATTGGTGAGGTCACATATTTGACCTGACTTCACTTTTCAGATGTAAAATCCCAGATTCATTAACTGTTGGCACTTATAATCCCATTCATTACAACAAGTTTCAGACTTATAGGAGATAATCTTTTTTTATAAATTTAGCTCGAATGTTTGAATGGACGGATTGACAGAGCCGGAGCCCACGCTAAGCAGAGCTTGTTGCGTAGACCCCGATCCCTACCGTCCGATCGCGCAATTCCGGGTATCGGGAGAATTTAGATGTCAAAGTTTAACGTGCCCTTCAAAGCCGGACGGCGGACACGGCCTGCCCCACTCAACTGACTTCAACTGGCTGCGGCTGCTCCCACCAACCGCAGACCATCCCCGTCAGGAGTCTCAAATATCGAGCGCCGGGGCGTCTCGAACCCGGGCTCTCACTACCGGGAGTCCAATGCTCTACCAACTGAGCTACGGGACAGGCAAATCTATAGGAATGACAAGATTGCAGCTTTTAGAGGCATTAAAACTGAACTGAACATGACATTGTGACCTGACCTCATGTGGCCTGTGCTTGATTTTTATGCACGATGCAAAAGTGATGTAGGTATGTAGTATGTACAATAAGATACACTGCTGCTTTCGTGGCGCTGCGCGCCGAGATTTTTCTCAACACATGAAAAAACCGGGAGTGTGGCTAATAACACCTCTACCCATCAAGACGAAGACCGGAAACCCGACTCCACCCCACTAAAAAATCCGTGGCGACGCCCCTGCCTCCTCCCCTCCTGCAATTTAAGTAGCCGCTGCGAACACTAATTCGTGTAAGGGGTCATTTTCACTTCTCCTTCGGACGCCGCAGCACGCTACTTCCCGCCGCGCGGGGGGCCGAGGGACGCTACCTCCCGCCACACCGGATGACCATCGGGGCCTGGGCGCCGCCGCGGCGGGCGATGGCCGGCGCTACCTCAATTCAATCTCGAGAAAATCAATCACAAGCACACTGCCAAGTAGTGTACCAAGGTGGTCCAAATTTGTATCCGCCCCTCCTATTGGTCAACGTCACGGCCGCCACAGGGATGCATTACGTCATTCCCGTCTGCCAACGACCAATCACAGTATGGTACTTGCGTATTCATGGTCCCTTCAAATCCTGGGGCCGAACGTAACCTGGGCCCCTGTGTAACCTTGGTCCCGGTGTAACCTGGGTACAATTGTACTCTGAATGTCACCCGGCCGTTCCAACTCATAGATGGCCTTGGTTCCGGTTCCAACGTTCCAGACTGAGACCACGGTATATAGAGAACTGACTGAGACAAGCAAGTTCGCTGTGCTGTATTGATGTATACCGTGTGACAGAGTTTGTCAGACTAGTACATGAATGTGTCAATTTTTATTTTTCCCAAAATGTGCCGTGGCCTTAATTGTTTTCTTCCAAGTACTCACAAGACCTTGCACCTAGAGCGTATGAGCATAAACTGAAATTGAAATGGTAAGAGCTTTCGTGGATGTTCAAGTGCGTGCTGATCAACCTACAGACAAGGCCCTATACCCTACAGAGAATCATCAAAAATGTCTGCCAGCGGACGCTGCAACAGAAACTCGTTCACAACCCTCGGCAGTCTCACAAACAGTCCGCTTCTGATAGTGTCTACTCTGTCAAAAGATACATGAAATAAGATCCGCTGCCGGGTAGTACGCACAGATACCTCGAAAGAGAAGGATCACAGAACTTTGCTTAATTTCACAGAAATTAAGCAGCCTGATTGGTAAATGTGAAGATGAAGTCCTCTCCAAGTAGATGAAGCGTCTAACCTGACCTAACCCTACCTACTAACCTACTAAATAGCCTACCAACCTACAACCTACATCTCTACAACCTACCAAGTACCAACCTACAGCCTGCCACTTGGACTTCATCTTCATCTTTACATATACCACCTGATTATCCAGCTGCTTAAGCACTACTTTTTATCAGACATAGCTTGGTAGATATTTCTGTGTAGCACCTACTTTTTTCTTAGTGTTGATGAGTTTTAAGGTCAGTTGGTAGTAGGTTTGTACTATTTATGCTAAGTTTGTTTGTATTATGATAAGTATCTTGTTGAGACGGCCTAGGAATCAAACTTTGCAGTGTAACTTAACTTCAAGCTGTTACCCTAGTTGCAGAGTGCCTTTATTGAACAGGGGCAGCGGATTCGGGGGGGCAGGGGGGGCAGCTGCCCCCCCTGGCAAACTCGTGGGGGGGCAAAAGTATCTTTTTGCCCCCCCATAATTTGTGACAAAGCTTAGACAAGAAACCATGTACCTGATTATTCTGTTCGATCATCTGAAGATGTAACCAGATGCCCATAACTTTATCATACGTTGCCTTTCTTAAAAGGCAAGCGTTCACGTTCAATTGAAGTTTTCCTCTCTTCAACCTAGTTTTGGAGGCTTTATAAGCGTCAACGTGACGCAGCGGAAACCCAGGCCTTCAGTGACCGCTTCAGGAGCGACGGATACGGGGTGGCAGAGGAGGCATCGTTCCCTAAGAAACTTTTGGAGGAGGGGCAAACGTATATTCTTGCCCCTCCATATTGTGCCCTAAACATGAGGAAAATTTCCATAACCTGATATTGCAGCTATGCGCTCCTACAGTTTGTCCAACGGTGCCTTTTGAATATGTGAAAATGCTAACCATTTCCGCTTTATATCATTTTGTTTTTGTCTTTTCAGATTCGATTTATAGATGTGTGCAAGAGACGCAGCTCATACCTTCAGTGGTCGTTTGCCTCTATTTTGTACCTACATAAATGCCAAATCGCAAGCGAGCGGAGACGGAATGGCTAGCCATTCGCTTGCGGGTAGTTAGGACTGATGAGCGCTCATAATAAGCCACTCCCCTGATTTCTTCGAGCGCAACAGTTTCCAGCGCATAAAATGGTAAACGCCGAGGTCGTACACATTGACGACATTGACCAATGCACGGTATGGTATTGGTATGACACCCAAAGGCCAGTCATCAGAGATCTGCTTTGGGCATTCGGAGGCTTGTGTGGGGCCAGTGTAAAAACTGGATGTTCACAGTTCAGTATCCGCTTTATTTCAGTTTTCACTATTAAAAAAGTAAAAATTAGTGTTGGAAACTTTTGAGGGTTAGGGCACTGATCATTAGTGGGCCCCCCTCTGTCTAAAGGCTGACTATAGAATAAAGAGCATCAAACACGAACAGTAGCGGCGGAACACCTTCAATTAAGGGCCTGCCGACTTTTGGTCCCATTCTTTCCATGCAACGCCCATAGCGCTAACGTTAAAATGCCAAAATCAAAGGGGGGCACGGTGCCCCGGTGCCCTCCCCGTTCCGCCGCCTATGAACACGAAAGCGAAATCTGAGGCATTTTGGAAAAATGAGTATGCCCCGCAGCGTCCGATAACTACCACCTTCCGGTGGGTCAAGCCAACGGGGCCCAAGGCTATAATGGCACTTTTATAACGATAGCACTAACCTTGTCTCACTTTTTGTTGAAGTCTGTTCCGAATGGTTTCGGCGACAAACTGGCTTCACTGAGGTATGTGCAACTTTAATTAAAGCCACCTGAGGCACCCCTGAATCTGGGTTGGAAATGCTCTTGCAGATATCACTGGCCGCTGATTCTCGAGTGCCTGAATCGGTAGATGTCGTGGCAAAATTTGGTGTGATAATTTGGACCTTACCGCAGTCAGCGCACCCTAAAAGAAACGCCCTACCCAGAGCTTCTGGATTCTCGTTTCAGTCCACCGTTCCTTCACCCCAGCCCACCGCCACGCTCCCTCACCTCAGCCCTCCGTTCCCAGCTTGACGAGCATTTGGGCCTTAGTTAAGCCTTGCTGTAGGCTAACTGTATAAACCCATCGAGACAGCCCGTCTCGGTGGGCTTAGTTGGCGAGCTACTGCCTTGGGGAGGGTTTCTGGCGGATCGCTGTCCCAATAGGTTTAGATGCGACCGACTGTCTCTGAATGTTTGAGCGGTCTCCTCCCGCTGTGAGCTAGTTGATATCTGTCTCAGAAATACTTTTTAAAGGAAGGTTAAACGGAAATCGAACGTAAAATAAACAGAGGAAATGCTAACGAGTTACCTCATTGAAGGAAAGCGCTCGCCTACTTCAAAAGGTTTGGAACCGTTCTTCAACATCTAATATGCGATCGGGTTATGGCACAACTTTTCCCATTGAAACTTTTTTTTTCTAATACAGCAATACGAAAAGCGTTACATCGTCCACTGGCGGATCCAGGGAGCGGGCATTTAAAGCAAATATTTACTCTCCCTCCCCTGGCCCCTGCATCGCCCGAAATAGACAAAGCGTACCTTATGTTTCCTAATAATAACACTTTTATCAGGATTTTTTTATTTTTTGCTTTATACTGTTCAGCAGTAGATCCGTAAGGAATCGGAATCCGAGGAGTTTTTGGATTTGGGACACTTTTTCGGGGGGTATGTCCCCTACAGTGTCGGAAACGTCTTTCTGGATCCGCCTATGCATAGACCTCTGTATACAGGTCTATGCATATGCATATGCATAGACCTAGACCTATGACCATAGACCTATGCATAGACCTCTGTATACAGAGGTCTATGGCCTATGACATCATCTCGACTGGGATCTTGCCCCCCCACGCCAAAATCGAATCCGCCGCCACTGTTATTGAAAACGGAATAATTATGTCTCCTGAAGATAAAAAAGATGTTTGTTTACAGACATTCATAATTCATATCATTTTTAAAGCCACGCTCGCACCTGGTCCTTTTTCCCCCTTAAAAAAAACTTGTGTTATAAATATATGATCCCAATCATTTAGGTTGCTACACTGCTTACAGACATTACAACATTGGTTAGATGTTGCACATCATGCTCACAATGTATTTCATAGAATAGCATTTCATTGAAAGCAGGTATAGCTTTGCAGAAAACATTTAATGATTGAACACCATCTCTTCAACCATTGACCTGCTTCAAACCTTTTTTCACAGCTTCTGCATACTGGCTGTCATATCATCCAGCTTACTGACCGCAAACCTACATCTGGCGACCAGAGCGATCACCTGATCCCACATCAGCACCAGGCGCCGAGAGGGCGATTGGTGACCCTGCACCAGTGACTGTCTGACTCTACCTCACTGCCGGACGAGCGGGGACCGCCGCCATGCCGTCACTGGACGTACAGGCGTGCCGGGACCGCAGCGGCGAGTTCTCGGCCGTCGTCCGGGCGCTGCGCGAGCGGCAGCAGGCCGCCCCCGCCCCCGCCGCCGCCGCCGCCGCCCGGCCGGCCGCCCTGAGCCGGCACAAGGAGTTCATGGCCGTGGCGAAACTGATCGGCCGCGACATATCGCAGACCTACTCCAAACTGGAGAAGCTGACACTGTGTGAGTTATATCTGATACCCTGCTGGGGCTCACTGTGGTGTATTTTGCTTATCAGCACGTTTATTGGCCGATGTTTCAGGTTCTAATTAATCAGGCTTTTGTTTGGTACTAATTTAAATGATGTGTGCTGATTAAAAACTGTTGAATTTCACTCAGAAATTCAAGTTCATTTTCAAATCGACCTGATTTGGAAAGGGTCTGCTCACTCTCAGCCTACTTTGTCGGCTGTGGTTCTTGTTGGCCATTGGATGCATGTCTAAATCGTGTGTTAGTATATATGTCATAACTACATCAATAACCCAGAGTAAATTACTCTTAAGGCCGCCGTCCACTGCGACGGAATTCCGTCCGGAGTCCGTCCGGAATGTCGCCGCACGCTGGCCGCATCCGGTCCGGATGCGGTCCGGATGCGGTCCGGATGCGGAGAGCTAATAAATGTTTCCTATCACTTATTACCAAATAAAATATTGCAAGTAACCAGCAGCGAATACTCTTGCCATTCTAAGGAAATAATTTTTACTTACTTCATGATGATCGAGTTCCAATTCTTCGTACAATTCACAATGTTTGCCTCCGACACGGCCCCAAACCACGTCTGTTCCGAACGTTCCGGATGCGTTTTCCGCAGCAAAGTTCAACGCGTCGGACATCACTCTTCCGTCTCCGTAGCAACCGCATCCGAAACGCATGCGGAGAGCTGACGGAAAATCAACAGCTGATTGCCGTTCGGATGCGGTCCGGACGGAGCGCACACGATTTCCGTACGGACCGGATGCGCCCATAGGGTTCTGTGTTAAATTCCGTACGGACCGCACGCGTTCCGCACAGTGGACGGCGGCCTTTACACTTCCCCCGAAGCGCCGCTAAATATACGGGAAGCGCCTAATGACTGGTTCCCGCTCTCTCTCAGTGGCGAAGCGCCTCTCACTGTACGATGACTGACCAATGGCTCTCTCGCCCTCTGATTTACAGTGGCGAAGCGCCTCACTTTGCACGAGGAGCGTGTTATCACTGCCCTTTTCTCTGTTTCACAGTAGCGAAGCGCCTCTCCCTGTAGGGACAGTGTGTGATGACTGCACCATTCTCTGATTCTCAGTGGCGAAGCGCCATTGCTGCATGAGGACCGACAAATGCTCTGTTCCGTTCCCTGATTTACAGTGGCGAAGCGCCGGTCGCTATACGAGGACCGACCTATGGAGATCGAAGAACTGACGCACATCATCAAACAGGACATGGGCAGCCTGAACAAGCAGATTCTGCAGCTGCAGCAGCTCAGCCGCAGCCCGGACGGCGGCAGGAGCGTGCAGAGCTTCTCCAGCAACGTGGTGGTGACGCTGCAGCAGAAGCTGGCCAACATGTCGTCACAGTTCAAGGGCGTGCTCGAGGTCCGGACAGAGGTGAGGCTGACAGATGGCTGCAGGAAGGGAAGCACGGGAGGTGGACGGGACTGGCCGGCCGACCGCCGATGGATAGATGGATAGGTTTTGATGGGAGCGTGGTCAACGGTCGCCCGGAGGCGCTGTGTTGACAGTGGTAATAGGAGGGCGACGAGCAAGCATAAATGGATGCTAGTGGATTAGATCTAGGAGTAACGTGAGGTGGGCAGAACTTGACCCTTGAATTATTCAGTTACAATACTATGAAGAGCTAATTGACGCTTGAGGTGGTAGAATAGAAGGGGTTTGTTATTGCGATCTTCGTGTGATGATCGTGAGCAGGATGTATTAAAGTTTCATATTCCAGCCGATCCTTAGAATCGAGCATAGTACAGCCGGTCCCTTTGCAATCCCTCCCCTCTGACTGGAGTCGCCCTCTGGCCGTACGCTCTGACTGTGGCCGCCTTCTGACCGGAGTTCGGATGTCGCCTTCTATCCGTCCCCTCTGACTGGAGTCGGCCCTCTGGCCATCCTCTTTGACCGTGTTCGCCCCCCGTCGTCAGAACCTGCGCCGGCAGCGGAGCCGTCGCGAGCAGTTCTCGCGGGGTGGCGTGTCGTCCAACCTGCCGCCGTCGGCACTCAGCGGCTTTCACCAGGGCTCCGTGCTGCTGGCGGACGAGGCAGCCGCGCGCGGAGACACCGTCCTGGAGCTGGGCGCGGCCGGACAGCAGCAGGGACAGATGCTGCTCATGGAGGAACAGGTGAGGGGGAGCGGGGGAGGTGGAGGTGGGCTGAGCTGCTGCTGAGGGGTCCTGGGAAAACGGGACTAACCATGATTGTGGTGATTTGGTTTGTCAATTTGACATCCATGCGTACTTGTTAGTATGCTTAGAATACTATATTTTATAGAAATATCTAATTGTGCTATTGTTTCGCTTTTTATTGCGTCGTAGCGTGTACTCGTATGATAGCGCAGCGTTTAGCGTTAGCCCGTCCCACCTGTGTTTTGCATCTGCGGGTTTTTCCAACTCGCTGTTTTCTCGGTTCCTTTTCTCTGTCGCGACTCGTCACTCACTACCGCTCCCTCCCGGTGATCTTCCCCTGCCTTTCCCGGGACACGTGCTGGCGCCGCCGTCCGCTGTAATCTGACTGGCCGCTTTCCCTCCCTAGGACACCTACTACCAGGCGCGCTCGGAGACCATGAAGAACATCGAGTCGACGGTGGTGGAGCTGGGTGCCATCTTCCAGCAGCTGGCGCATATGGTCCACGAGCAAGAGGAAATGGTCCAAAGGTGGGTGTTAACCAGGATAGATGGTAAAGGGGTTGGTTGTAAACAGGGAAATGATCTAGAGGTGGGTCATAAACAGTGGAATATGGTCCAAACTCCAGGGGTGGGTGGATGAAGGGCAATGGTCCAGAGGTGGAGTGTAAGCAGTAGCTGGTCTAACGGTGGGCGGGTTATAAACAGGGGAGATGGTCCAGGGGTGTCATAAACGGGAGCTGCTGTCCAGTTATCAAGAGTGCTGGATAAACAGGGGGGGGGGGGGGTGACGATTAGTCTCGCCATCGACCCTCTTGCGGCATGTGGGTTAAAGTTGCAACAGCGTGAAAAGCCAACGATGTGAGGGAGCGAGTGGTGTTGCTGTGCTCTCCCGTATGCCGTCTGTGTGACCAGAGTCTCTCTTCTTCCCGGTAGAATCGACGCCAACGTGGAAGATACCTCAATGAACGTGGAGGCCGCTCACTCGGAGATCCTGAAGTACTTCCAGTCGGTCTCCTCCAACCGCTGGCTCATGGTGAAGGTGTTCGGCGTGCTGATCGTCTTCTTCATCGTGTTCGTCATGTTCCTGACGTAGCGGCACGGTCGGCGGTGCTAGGATGAGGTGGTGTGTGCTGTGTGTGGATGCGGATGGGTGAGTACTGTGAAGATGAGATGGGCCATTGTGTTATATTCTATTTATGTCGATCGAGATTCGAGAGACCAGCCGTGTGCACGGCTCGATATGATGTGTGATAGGGGATGTTTTCGCTCGGTACAAATGCTCTTAGTTGATATCGTTGGTTATGTTATCAGGGTTGTGTTCGACGACCCAAACTTGCGATCAAACTACGACGTTGTTCGACCGTCACCGCCATCCTGCGATTATGGGATACATCTGTCATATTGACTTGGAGGACTGGGATAGGCCGCACGGCGTATTCACCTCTGTCTAGTTCTATCCAGTATCCTCCGTCCGGATTCCCGCCACCCCCTGTGGCCGGCCTGGACCGTGGTGGCTGGTTCCAGCCGGTAAGAGAGGACCTCTGGTAGTCTACAGGCGCCTCTGAGCTGGCCAGACTGCGGGCGGCACGGGACGCTGGGGTGTGATCACCGTAGGGGGCGCCAGCTGCGGGTAGGATGGGGAGCGAGCCTAGTTTGAGCTGGACAGAGCCACTTCCAGTCGGGTCTGATAGATAACGAAAGGTTGGCTCCATTTGATTTCATCCCGTTGCGCAAAATATTGCGTTTTCCTTGAGTTCTAGCCCAAACTTTGGTGGATTATCCTTATCTTCAGATTATTCACTTACCGGGTTCTACATAGTTCCAGTGGTGGGGAGTAGTTCATGTATGGAACGCAAAGCATATCGTGATCTATATTAATTGTAGGTACATGATGTGAAATATGATATTTTTATATAAGAGAAAATAATGAGAATGCAGTGCGGTCAATGCCAGTTTCTGTTTTTGCTGGTGCGGATGTTTTAGGGATTATTTTATGCACCTCCTTAAACACATGCACCATGTCTGTCCATCTGTCCACTCGAAATAAGTTTGCACCCTACCACTCATAACCCGCCGTGGGGCGATAGATGCATGTCGACTTGTGATTCATCAAAACGATTGTCTCGCGAATCGCGATACGATAACACTGTCCTGAGGAAATACACCTTTTTGCATTTGAATTCAACCATTCGCCATAACTGTTTGGGGGGCCATTTCGACAATCGACATTGAGCACAACTATTCCGGCGTTGCGTGTCTCATTTTAGCCATTCAGCAAAACAGATTGAACACATGAGCGATGTGCAAAACAGTTTGACACTTCGCCAGACTTCGGCATTGAGTGAGCCAGCTTGGCATATGACGAATATTTCCGACCATTGACGATTTGTTTTTCACAATGTTGAGCCATTCACTCAACGCCGAGTTGTAGAGGAGGACCGCCGAATAGTTTTGCTCAATGGTGATTCTTTGTGACCAACCGCCCATTTGTAGCGCCACCTAGGTATATGGCGAATCCGAATGTGTACAAATGTTTTGTCCAATGGTCAAAAGCTAACGCAAAAAGGATATAAGCTGTATGAACTTCATATGCCGCGATGAAAAGAGAGAGGAATGCGGGCTGCGGAGTAACAGCGCGTTCGATAGCACCTTTTTCAGAAAAAGACGAATTCCTGTCAACTCTACAATGGGTCGGAATGTACCTAACCTTTTGTAAATTAGTAGGCAGAACGGCTACAGCTAGAGTCATTGGTCATTTCTGGCATTATCAAATTGCAGAATGCATTAAATAACTACAGCGGCACCGCCAAAATGAAGCAGATACAGCGTATAATATGAAAGCCTCGGAACGACAAAATTTCCAGCAGGCTGTGACAGTCAAGTTGTCAGTACGTCTCCCTGATGACTGTTAACCCGCGCCCTGATGGGGTCTGCCGAGCAACGCGGTCTGAAGGGGAGGGACCATTTTGCCCTCCCCCCAAGATCTCGAGAACCTTGTCGAGAACTACGCAACATAGCGACAAGCGGCAAACAGCGTTGGATAGCCCCAACGGGGAACTACCTTGTGGCCCAATTTTATTGACCTCGGTCAGACCGATGACGTCACAGGTCAGGTCAAATGTCAAATTTTCACCGTTTACAGGCATTTCAAGAAATGCGTTGTAAAATCGAGAAAAATGCATTTCATTGAAAATCATCGATGGGGAAATGTTCGTCAAACACATACTTTGCTATTTGAGGTCACTGCATACCAGGTGGCAGGTCAGGTCACAGAGGTCATGTCACTGAGGATCACAAATTAAAAATATCATGTGATGCATGTTTTATGGTCCATTTTATATGCCAAATGCGATTATGTGGGACAGGCAGCGCTTGGGGTCAGTTGAGATTATGTTTTGGTGAAGGTCAGGTCAAGGTCAGGTCAAATTAGGTCAAATTTCAAAGTTAATATTTTTGCATAAAATGGGTATCGATTCGATGCAGCTCGTCACGGGGAGTTCAATGGTGGTCTCTATTTTGCGCTACGTGGTCTAGAATTGCTATAAATTGAGTTCAAAAATTTGACGTCATCAATTTTTAACAGTGTTTTCGCTATAACTTGGCCAAAAAAGAGGTATCGATCTAAAATTTGGTATGTATATCGAAGAGCGCAGGGACTGTCACATATATTTCGTTTTCGAAATTCGAAATTTTTTGACATTTTTTGAGTTTTTCTAAAAAAAAAAAATCATTTTTTATTTTTGGGGGTAAAAATCCCAAAATTTCGAAAATCTGAGAAAACAGTTTTGTAGCGCCGTCTTTTCTCTACACAACCTCATAAAGAACTTTAAAATTGCTTGTAAACTGTAGAATTGGTGAGCGTTTCAAGGTGTCGTGTTTTTTGCTCATTTTTACTCGAACATGACCTCAGTTTGACCTCAATAACTCCTGACCCGAGGTGAGCTGTGACTTGAAATTTTGTGTGAAGGTGTCAAATTGATGCCCGGTAAGGTACCCCAAATTTGACGGCGCTGCGCGCCGCCGTTTTCTCGTTATTTAAGAAAAACTACAGGGGGAGGGCAAAATGCCCCCCCCCCCATCAGGGCGCGGGTTAAAATTACCGAGGAGGAGGTTACTGAAAAAAATATATTGTCGCCTGTCGGACATGTACATTGTACAGCAATACTAAGTGGTTTACAGCGACATATTTATATTAACCATCGTCGGACTTTTAGTTATCTGGCAAAGGGCGGGAGGGGGGGGGGGGGTACGACCGCGATTGGTACCCCATTTTAACCCGCGCCGGGGCGGGGGGGGGGGGTGTTTGAACACCCCACTGCGATTTTTCGCAGATATCTTAAAAACGGCGTTTTTGGCGCACCTGTTTAAGTCAATGGGAGAAAATTGAAAAGCGTCTCTTTTGCACGAACGCCGTTCTAGACAATCTCAAACATCGGGATGCAAGTAAAAGTGACACCCTGAACCTGTGATCCCTCGTTATGTCCCCGAGGTCATCTCAGGTCACGAATACTGAATAGTATCTAACAGTTTTTCACTAATAACTTCAGATAGAGGCATGCTAGAGAGACGAAAACGCCTTAGATGTGTTCGCTCGACGATGCGGATAGGCTGATATGCAACATGACCTTTTCCGGTCGGGTGACCTTGACCTGAGGTCAAATTTTCAAGTTGACCTTTTAAGGTCAAGTTATAGTTCATTCGATGCGTCTTGACGAGAGGAACACGATGCCGGTAAAAGTAAGTTCGCACAAGGCTTGGGTCAAAAGTTATTGCAGAAAAACTGTTTTCGAAAAATCTGCTATTTTTGCAGTTTTTGCCCCCAAAGAGCAAAGTTGGTATACTAATCCTGTTCATGGCTCTAATATTTTGTTAAAGTCAATAAATATAAACAGGCCTTCCACATTGAACGTCTCGCCTGTCGCTCGCGAGTCAACAGCCAGTATTTGCCACTTGCCAGCCCATTGGCAAAGTGCCGTCTTGGTACCGTCTAACTATTTAGACGGTAGGTACCAAGACTTTTCAAACGTCCCTACAAAAAAGGAATGAAAAGAAGTCGCCTAAGAGTTCGGTGGCAGCTGCTATGAGGCGGTGAAAAGAATCAATAATCTGAACACACAAACAAAGAGGCAAGGGCTGCTGGTCTGGCGCCTCACACAACAGCCATGTGTACTGTGCACACTGTTTTCTGTCGCGACATGGCTACGGGCTGACAGAGACATTGGGGTATTGGCAAACATAGAAAGTGCACACGGTGAGCCGCTCATAGTTCTCGAGCACGTCTTATCGGACTGAAGTGCCACACGGTTCACGGTAAGTTGGACGGGTTCCATGGTTTGTGGCAGGATTCTGCCAAGTTAGAAGTGTAAAAAGGGAAATTTCTGTGTTCCTTGGATATTCCAGACTACATAACAATTCATATCCCGCAAGTTACTGGAGGACAGTGGGGTGGGGGGTCGTGAAATGCCCCCACTTTTTTCGCCGCGCTATAGCTTAACCCGCGCTCTGCTGGGGGGGGGGGGATGTTTGACCACCCATCCGGTTTTTAACGAATATCTCAAAAACGGCCACGTGGAGCGAAGCCGTTTTGGCACACCTTATCATCCATCAATTCTACACCTGTAAAAATTTCAGCCCAAGCTCATTCAGTGTCAGGTCACCAGGTCACATGTACAGAATGTATATCTCGGAATTTTCATATCGGTGACCTAAGGCTAGGTCCCGAGTTTCCCGACTTTTGGGTCATTGACCTGACCTGGAAGGTCAACCAATGACCTAGGACCTTAAAATTGGATATCATCGGCTTCCTCTCGTCACGGGCAAGACGTTCGTTTTTTCCGCGAAGCTCTAGCTCGATCAGGGGCCAAACGGCAAGGGGGTCCAATCGACCCCCCCCCCTACACATTAGAAGCTGGCAAACGCCGCACATATGCGAGGGTTAAATTGATCTTTTTCGACCGAACACGCTCTCGTATAATAAAACGAATGTCACCATCGTGTTCTACGCCCAAAAGTACTCATAAAACATGAGTCATAGACTGCGAATACCAGGTTTGATTTTCAGGGATATGATTGATTTTCAGGACCTGACCTGACCCGACCTGTAACCGCGAAATTCAACTTTCAAGTGCTCATCTGAACTCTGATACGTCTCGTTGCGTTCTTTCTTTTGCCACCTCGTGCGTTTCGCTGCCGCCTATTGGTTCTCGAGTTTTCGGCTGGGCCTGGGGGCGTTTACCCCCCCCCCTCCCCCCAGCAAACGGCGGATGGCGAAATACCCCAGTATTAGTGCCGGGGTGATACAAATTCTCCATCTATGTAGCACACCAATATGGTAATATTTCTTCTCGTGATGATGGGGAAGGAGCACTTTTTTGCCGCACAACCCCTTTCACGTGTGGTAGGGAAAGCAGCGGCGCTATGCGACACGATTCTTGTCATGTGGCATGCTTACAACCCATCGGTTTTGCGACCCGTGCCATTTGTCAAAATCGTGACAGTCTTGTCTATACGGAACACACAATACACAATGGTTGCAATTCTTCGTTTGTTTTGCATGACTAAAATAGAGTGATCATGAAGACACGCGTTAGTTCCGGATCAACTGTGATAATTACGAAACACTTAACTTCATTTTTTTCGATATTTACGTGATGATACGTTACTCTAGCTAGTTGTCATCTTTTCAGATATGCCAACCGTAATGCAGCCCGCTGGTCACGTGGAGGTTAGAAGCATCTCGACTGAGCTCGAGGATGTCTCGACCGACCCCGGGGACGCTTCGTCCGATCTCACGAGCGCCTCGACCGAGCTTGGGGACGTATCAGCCTTTCTTGGGAATGCTTCTCCCGATCTCGGAGGTGCTGCGCTCAAGAACGAGAGGACCTCGACCGAGCTGGCGCCGATGGTCATCTGGCCGTCGACCGCTGACCGGGCTCTGGTTGCTCTGCTGCGTGTGGCCGGTCAGGCAGGTGGCCCCGGCTGGCCGGCCCGTCTGTACGCCGCGCTTCTCTACATCATGGTGGCAGCCGTCAGCGTGATGTCCGTCATCCACTTCCTCGAGATCGGCTTCAGCTACCTAAGGAATGGTATGACACTGCTCGAAGCGGCCTTCGCTACCTTCTTCTTCGGGTGTGTACAAGGACTGCCGCTGGTGCCACTCACGGCTACGGTCATCTGTGGT